TGCACCAAGAGCTTGTAACACTCCAAAGAGAAAGGAAAACTTGAAATTGCATCATATGACCCCTTTAATAAAACAGATTCGATACTGAATCGCTATATTATTTCTCAGCAGCAAGGGGGTAAAATCGCTGTTTTTGAAGTAACTAAACTAAAGAGACATAGACGCAGATAATTCACACACGTAACTTTAATCTCTCTCTCTCTGTCTCTTAATTATAAAATTCATCATATTACAGCGCTGATTATAATTTTAGATTAATCATTTTAATTACAAATATGAATTATTAATAAAATATAAATTTATTATATTTAAATTATAAAATTAAAATGTCAGAACAGATTATAATTTCAGATTAATCATTTGAATTAATTAAAAACATTTATTAGCATTTATTACAAATTATGTATTATTAGTCAAATATGAATTAATGCATTATTATAAAATTATAAATTTCATGCAGTGACAGAACAGATTCTTTATTTGTTTTTTTTTCCACTTTGCCAGTTTCACTATCTGTTAATAAGAACATATTCATTATTTTGGTAATTCATGTTTTTGTATCTAACGTCTTTAACTGTTCACAGAAAAGCTTGAAACTGTTCACAGAAAAACTCCAACCTATCATTGCATTCATTTCCAGGGCTTTGTTTGAATTGATATTAATAACTGTGTATGGAGAGACACTCAGAATAAAATGATTCTCCACGTCCATTAATCTGAACCAGAGCCGCTGCCGTTAATGTTTCAGCACTTCTACTGTGTGCCAAATCTCGTTCCATCTCCACTTTATAAGACATAATGTCATACCTGAGGGAGTGCGGACACATTAGCTGATTATATGAGGCAAATATAGTTCCATATCAGCATACAGATGGGCTCAAAACTAACACACACACACGTGTAATATGCTAGAAAAACCCACATTTTGATTTCTTGGTGTCTTTAAGGAAGCAAATCAGCCCTTTCGCCTCTTGCTAATAAACAAAAAATTTTAATGCTGTATTCAGACATTTGCTGAGCCGCACTGCAGATAAAATGCTCTTAGAATAAACACAAGTGATTAAATACCATTCAAATGTTTGGGGTCAGTAAGATTTTATTTTTTTTTTTTTTAAAGAAATTAATACTTTTATTCAGACTTTAAACTGACAAAAAATGACAGTAAAGTCATTTATAATGTTAAATCAATACTTTATTTCAAATAAATAAAATTATTTTGAACAGTCTATTTGTTAAAGCATCCTAAAGAAATGTATCACAGTTTTAAACACTGATAATAATGAATGTTTCTTGAGCAGCAAATCAGCGCATTAGAATGATTTCTGAAGGACTGGAGTAATGCTGAAAATTCAGCTATGCCATCACAGTAATAGAGTCTTGGGCATCACTGGTGAGAGTAAGAGGCATCTTTCAAAAACTTAAAAAAAAAATCTTACAGACTCCAAATTTTTGAACAGTAGTGTGGATTTTTTTTTTTTACTACCACAATCAGATCTTTTATTTTTGTGTGTGTGTGTGTGAGTGTATTTTAAAACAAGTTGTGATCAATAAGCACTATATCTAAAAAAAAAAAAAAAAAAACACTATCCTGGAGGATCAATCTATGTGCGAGCAGAAGGGAACAGAAACTTACCTTGAAAATGCATCATCGAGGCCATCTTCCGCATCCTGAAAATAAGAGAACACGGAATAACCATGTAAGAAAAACCATCACAATATATCACATACAGATTCAGAGAGTAACTCTCAGCACCAGCATGCTGTAAAAACTTAATGTGACAGTCATTATCTGAGACCAGCAGACTGAAGGTCCTAATTGGGTTTCAGAATCTGCCTAAACAGTGAACGGAATTCAATCACGGCTGAAAAGTAATTAACAGAGGCACAGCTGAGAACGGTGTGCAGACAGAGAACCTGACAGATGCAATCTTTCATAAAACAGACCTTGCCAACTAAACTAGAATGGCCAGCTCTCCACCTAGGTCATGTATTTAATCAATAATATTGTATTTAAGTAGAGAATGCCACTTAGTGGTGAATACATGCTATATCAACAGGACAGGACCTGCTGACTGACAGTATAATGGCAATTAGCCAACGGCAATAGAGTAATTACTGCCTTGGCATGCTCTTTGCTATCAGAACAACTGACCTTCATTTTGGAGCTGATACTCTGCACAATAGTGGCACTCTTTCAGCAAATTAATGAGCATTCAAATGATCAGGAAAGACAGCCTTGCATTTGAGCCATATTTGATCACATAATACAGAAATAAACTCCTGGAAATGCACTACTGTCCTTCTATGAGGGGGTATTTATGTGTACAATTAGTTCTGCTCTAAATTGAGTTCAGTAAGATTTTATTTTTTTGAAAGAAATTATTACTTTTATGCACATTCACACATTAAATTGATCAAAAGTGAGTAAAGACATTAACAATGTTACAAAATATTAGTATTTTCAAATAAATGCTTTTGAGCATATCATAATGATTTCTGAAGGATCATGTGTAACACGGAAAACTAGAGTAATGGCTGCTGAAAATTCAGCTTTACCATCAGAGGAATACATTACACATTAAAATAGAAAACATTTATTTTAAATTGTAATAATATTTGACAGAATTACTATTTTACTGTATTGTTGACCAAACAGAAGCAGCCTTAATGAGCACAAGAGACTTCTTAAAAAAAAACATTAAAAACTCCTACCAACCACAAACTTTTGAATGGTAGTGTATGTGAACAGTTTAGAAAGGATGACATCATACCCAGGAGTCATGTTTGATTGGTCGTCTCCTAGCTTTGCTGCTTGGAGATGGTGAAAGGAAAGAAGGGAAGAAGGGCTTCTTAAGTTTGTGCTCCATCAGAGCCTGAGTCTTCTCCTCCTCTGACACAAGTAAAGAACACAAATGAAGGGTATTCCCATTAATTCAACCAAATTAAGACAGACATCCAGCAAACCATTGTGTTCAAACCAATAAATGTACCTGAAACACTGTTTGGTTCAGATTCAGGCTGAGATTCAGGGTCTGAACAGGAGTAGCATGTGCGAGCTTTCTTACTTTTGTCTGCAATGGAAAAATGAAGACACAGGAATATATTCTGTTCCTTGGGATATTTTTATATATATTGACAAAAGGCAAAAAAAAACTCACCTTCCTGTGCGATCTCCCACAGATCCAGAGCTACTTTAAAAGCTTGTGCAACTGTCAGAGTCACAGCCTGAGCCTGTGGAGGACACGTGATCACAAAATCAAAGAGAGCCCTGGGTGAGATTTTGAATAATCATGCTCTTGTCCACTAGATGGCGCTAGACACCAACTATAGATACGGATCAAGAGAAAAGACTGGCTTTCACAATTAGAGTTTGTCAAATATAATACAAAACCTGTAGCAAGAAAACAGACAATCATTAAGCAGGCCAGAAGAAGGATTACAAAACTATCAAAATGGAAAAATGTTACCATGTGGGTGGGTGGGTGGATGGATGGATAGACGTGCATCTGAAGACACTTACTATTTTCTTTTTTTGGCACAGGAAGGCATGGCACTCCAGAGCTTCGTTGAACTGGCTTTGGGAGACGTAGGCAAAGACCTTATCCTGAGTTTTGTCTGTTGTGCAGTAAGATATTCTGCAAAGGCAAGAAATACAAGCTTTTCACTGTATTGTCCATAAAGACTCATATAATCAAATAACATTTCCAGGAATGTATAATACTGCACTCTAAAAAATGCTGGGTTAAATACAACCCAGTGCTGGGTAAAATAGGGACAAACCCAGCAATTGGGTTGTTTTGGCCCAGCGGTTCAAAACAACCCAATTGCTGGGTTTGTCCCTATTTTACCCAGCACTGGGTTGTATTTAACCCAGCATTTTTTAGAGTGTGACAGGGTCACAGTTATGACTAAATATTTATCTTTCAATAATATCATGAAAGTGTGTGAAAATCACCAGCTTTATGTTACAGAGAAATTACAAGCTGCTTGGAGTTCAGTAACTGGAAAAAAAAAAAAAAAACCTCTTCTGTTATATATCGAGTCATTTCTAACTTTCAACAAGAGTAATAACTGCATCCAGCCATGTAATGTAGGTCTATAAGGTCTGTAGATCAACCCAGACAATCCTGTCAAAAACAGATTTGTACTTTTAAAAAAGTAAGATGGGTTTTTGATCTCTAAGATTCATATTGGTCAAATCTGTAGGTGAACTGTAATAACACCCATTTCTGCACCCAAAGAGTTCTGTCATCATTATTCCAAACCTGTATTATTTTCTTTCTGCTGTGGAACACAGAAGAAGATATTTTGAAGAATGTCTGCCCTTTTTCATTCAATGACATTTTCCTGTAGATTAAACAGTAAAGCATGGCGCTAACAACGCCAAGGTCATGGGTTCAATTCCCAAGAAATTCACAAACTAAAAAAGAAATACATAGCACTGAATGCAATGTAAGTTGCTTTTCATTAAAATGTCTGCCAAATGCATAAATGTAAATAAAAGTGGATGGGGACTGGAGCTGCCAAGCTCCAAAAGCACAAAAAAAGAACCAAAAACATTCTTTCTGAAGCCATTTGTTGATCATTTGTTTAAAGAACAGACTGAAATTTAAGATGTTATTCTTTCGATAAAATATTGCCATTGAAAATTTAACTTGACAGTCGTGGTCACCATTCACATTCAATGACAATGGGAAATGAAAGTAAGTAAATCATGGCAAAAGTTTAATTTTGGGCTATATTTTATTCCACTAGACTGTCGTAATATCCTTTCAATCTATGATTTTTTGTTTTATTTTACTGCATTTAGTTTTTGTAAAGAAAGCCAGAGATCAACAACACTGTAGATTTTACAGCCAATGCGATTATCAGATATAATATCAGACACACTTATAATTAAAATGAAATATGAACCATCAGAAATGTAATAGAAAGTGGATTTTGAAAGTCATTTTAGGAACGTAATAGAAATTTAGAGCACCAACCCAAAAGCTTTTGTGTGAAAATGATGAGATACATTAGACAAAGACCAGGGAAAGACAGAGCTCTGATCTCACTTCATCTTGTTAGTGCACTGCTTCTGATGCCCGACCTAAAAAGAAATGCCCAAGACCCTTATTTTCTTTCTCCCTCCCCTTTCTGTCTTTGAACATGGGGGGTGTGGTGAATGATCATTTATTCCAGTCTGGTGCATTGCACACTTTCATTATTGAAGAGTGAAAAGCTGAGTGGGAAGGAAACTGTAAATGGCCTGAATGTAGCTTGTTTGTAACTCTATTTAAACAGAATTGAAGATGGGGGACGTTTTATCCTTGGCTATACTGACAAGAACTTCTCAATCTTTGCTTTCATGGAAAACAAATAGGAAGTTTTGAAAATAACTTAATGGAACATTTATTTACTTTTTACATATTTACATACTAGTCCTTGAATTTGATTGGCTGAGCGGCATTTTAAGAGTGCTTATATATATATGTATAGTCCAACAAAACAGTTCACCAGTAGGTGGCAACAAGTGACCATCTTTATGAGTGAGTCATTGGAATCAATGGATTTGTTTAGAAATTTAGGCTGCATCCATATAAGCATACTTTCCTACTATATAGTAGAAGCAGTATATGAAATAATTTATGATTCTGAAGATTCTGAAGTGCATGATGTCCCATGAAGGCACAGGAGGATTTGTGAATGGCAGGAAAGCAACACAGCTGACACTGGTAGGTCACATGATAATGACAACATGACAAATGTAGTACCGACCGTATGTCCAAATAACATTCATTCTACATACATTCATCCTATATAGTACTTTTTCACATTTGCAAATTAACTACACCAAAGACCTACTTAGAATGTATGCAATTTCGGATGCAGCATTTACTAACAAAACAAGTGATTATGTTTATGAGTGAGTCATTGAATCATTCAAGCTACCGATTTGTTTAAAACTACCAAATTATTCAGGAACAAAACACCTACTTCCTGTTGCTTGTGTAAGTTCGCAACAATTTTCATTGCAATGAAGTTAATGGCAATGCTGTTCAAAATGTAAGATATTTATAACATATTAATTGAACTGTTTTTTATTGTCAGTGTGTTTTCAGACCTTTGCACTCTACTGTACATGAATGAGAAATCATAAGGTGGGTCATGTAAACAAAGAAATTGAATCCAGGAAAAGTTAAAAGCAGAGATACAGTAAAGTAGCAATGCACATCAAAATAAGTGAGTGAGGCGTTTGCATGAAAGCTTCCTGCTTTTGGAGACTTCAGGCAAAGAGGCGACACGCACTTGTTAAATTTTAACAAATGTAAATAGAGTCTTAGTCAGGACACATACAATGTACAGAGAAAAAATGAGGGCTTTTACGTAAGCAACTCAAGGGTAACAAACATGACCTATTGGCTCTGACTACCATAAGAGCTTCCAAAATATATATATATTTATTCAATTTTCATTTAATTAATATTTTATATATTTAGAATTATATATATTCATTTATTTAATAAATGAATTTAATAAAATTATTTAAAATAAATGTTAATTTAATATATATATATATATATATATATATATATAATTATATAATACATATCTAAAACATTAAATTTAAATGAATGAATGTAGATATATAAAATTACATATAAAACGTATTGTATGAAAACAGTCTGTAAGCCCTTTCTTATTTTAGCTTTGGCAGTGTTTGCATTGGCAGGGCCACATCTCCATCAGTGATGACCTCCAGGCTCCCCTCTCTCGCCGAACACATAACAGTGGAATATGACATTCCCAGAATGGGAAAAAAACCAAGTGGGGTTTAATGTTTTCATGAACCCCCATACAGTTAATGCGGGACCATAGTGAATCTCATTACACAAATCACTGTGCAAGATTTGCGGCTTAGGAAAATAAAATCTTGCAAACAAATATAGATGTTTTCTTTTCAAGAGACAAGCTGGCAGTAGTGAAACTAATATGTGTATTTGAAAAAAAGCCACATAAAAATCCTAAATTGCAGTGAGCATTGACGGAAATGAAACAAAAGCATAAAAAAAGACCCAGAATGCCCTTCAAACCTTTACAATTTCTAAAGCTGACAGCGCCTACTGAGCCTAGACAAACAGCATCATCTCATATTTTTCACTAAAAATAGAACGGCTGTTTTTTTCTTCATTATTTGTATATTCGGCTGTGGAGAGGGGGATGGGACGCAAAGGAGTGAATAAAGATGAGGAAGAGTATTTATATCATCAGAGCTAATGTGTTTCCTTCTTTTCAAACCCCCACCACTTCATTCAAAATGCTCTCGTTTTCCTTCCTGTCAGTGAAAAGGCACAGAATACCCATGATTCTGTTCATCACCCTTCAAATGGCTGTCCAAAACCCCCTCAGGGTTTGGGTTGAAATAGCATTTATTATAGCATTCCGACTGAACTCTGATTTCATGGTCCCCTGGTACTTGTGTTTATTCTCCAGCCTCCTTTGAAAGTCAAACTGAGGCTGTATGATCAAAGTCTACTCTGATTATATTCTGCAATGTAAGACGTTTCACTCCAGGGTGTTTTCTTTTATCCTGAAGTGTGCTTTACCTGGATCAGGCCAATAATACACTGTAAAAAATAAGCAGAAGCTCAGTGCAGTTGAGAGCAGTTTGTCCTGCTATGTGAGTCTTACACAGGAATCCATATGTCATCCCACTAAATAGCCAGAACCCCACAGAGCATCTCTGAAGGGTGCAGGCAGGACGGTCCCGCAGATGGAGGAGTTCCAGGTGCAAGGACAGTGTGTTTTGTTGCAGACCTGATGCTCTGCTGACATACATTGTAAAAATCATTTAAAAATTTATAAGTATTTTTGTCTTTATTACCACTGAAAAACATTTAAATATCTATAAAACAAATTTATATTAAGACTCAGAAAATATACTGTATCTTGAATAAAATTTATATTTCTTACCCATTTGGAATATATATATATATATGTGTGTGTGTGTGTGTGTGTGTGTGTGTGTGTGTGTGTGTATATACATTTAAGTGTAAAAATGTGCTTAGAACAAGTACAAACAAAGTAGTAAATAAGAAAAAATAATGTAAAAAACATCAAGAAATATTCAAGTAATATGCAATTTTGCTTCTCCGATTTATTTTTGTTTAATTACCATTTTAATTTTACATTCATTATATTAAGACTAATTAGAACATACAGTATTGAATTACTGTAAACCAAAAGAAACTAAATAAGAAATAAGAAAAATATGTACAAATTCTAGAAATATTCAAGAAATATCTTATGCAGTTTTATATAGCAAAATATTGTTGTGCTTTAATTTATATTACATTTTAATTTATATTAAGACTAGACAGAGTTTACAGCATAGAATTATTATATAATTTAATAAAAAAGTAATATTTAGTATTTGGAATTTGTCTTGCCCTCTGTTGAAAACCTCAAAAAATAGTGCTTAGAACAAGAATGAACTATACATATATATATATATATATATATATATAGTATTAAAGACTTTTCCAGGTGTAAGTGTAAACTTTAATAAATAGTGCTTAAAAACAATAAATATAAAAATGTGCTTCTCAAAATTTAGCTTGCTTTACTAAACATTTTAATTTGAGTGATTACATTTTTTATTATTATTATTATATATATATATTTTTTTTTTATTGTAAAACAGATCCAGGGAGGGCATGTGTAGTGTGAAAATAAGAATGAGAGAAAGGAAGAATAGAGCAAAGAATGAGAGAGTAGGAAGGATGTGGAATAAGTGTTCTTACGGGAGAGGATTAAAGAGATGGGTGATTCCCGTGACTGTGTCTCTGGTATAGTTGATAAGGGGGCTCCTCTCATGCCCACTGAACAATACACCTCCCTCCAACAGATGGGTATGATACAGGCAATCTCAGATTCATGAATATGATTCATGCATGTCACCTCTTGCATCAACATTTGTTTGACATACTCGAATGTTAATGATTCACTGGTTAGTGATCTCACTGCAGAGTTCATGTTGTTCTACAGACCTTGACCGACTAAAAATCTTTAAACAATTGATTTGGAGGTAGTGAAGTAAACAGGCTTATTCCAATAATTGACTCAATGGCTTTTTCAAATTCTGAGAACAATGATATTTATATAATAATTTTATAAAATGTATACAGATTTTATAATTAATAAAATAAAAAAAAACTTTATACAATCAATCATTTTTAAAGGTTAGATCAGGTTGAAGTTTGGGGTCAGCAAGATTTTTTCCCCCAAAGAAATTAATACTTTTATTCAGCAAGGATGCATTTCATTGATCAAAAGTGACAGTAAAGATATTTACATAGTTAAAAAAAACTATTTCAAATAAATTGCGTTGTTTTTTCTATTCTAACTTTCTATTCATCAAAAATCCGACAAAAAAAAAAAAAGATAATAATAAGAAATATTTCTTGAGCAGCAAACCATCATATTAGAATGATTTCTGGAGGATCATGTAACACTGAAGACATTTTAAAATATATTAAAATAGAAAACAGGTATTTTAAATTGTAATAATATCTCCCAATATTCCCAATATTTTTACTGTATTTTGATCAAAGTAATGCAGTCGTAATGAGTATAAGGGACGTTCAAAAACATCTTACCAGCACATTTTAACATTTTTTTTTTAAAGCATATTAAGGATGCCTTTCAATTAGCACCACACTGTGATTTTGAAATTATGATACAAAAGAGCAAGGTTTTGTGATGTTGGTCTGTTTTGGTGTGGTTTTATACCTGTAAATGGAAACGTCCTCGATGAGGTCATTGGTCTCTGTGTCTGAGATGATGATTCCTTTGGGGGAGACGGTGAGGGTCACTTTCCGAAACTTCTTTGTACTGGCCCGAGCCTGCATGTGGTTGACAACAAAAACAATTTGTGTGAACCCTGGACAAATATCTTTGTCATTGTCAGCTTTAAAATGTCACTCATAACTCACTGACCATAAACAATAACCTCTAAAGGTCAGCAAAAGCTGTGTGGGCTATTAACTCCAACTCTATCGGAAAGAGCTGAAAAGAGATGATGCTTCACATAAAATTCATCTTCTGCCTTGATCCCAGCATATGAACACACTGGTACATCAGTGTAGTGTGCTGGCAGAAAGAAACGAGGCCAACATGCATGAGAACGAGGGGAAATTATGGTTGAAATGCAGCAGAGGAGAGAGAGGGGACTCGTCAAGGACAAAGGAAATCAGGCAAAGCATATCTGGAGGGTCTTTCTTTCTCCCCAGGAGACAGAAAACACTGATATAAAACATGAAACTCTTTAAATGAAACTCTTCTCAAGAATTCACAGTCTGACAGTTTGGAGAGAAACTTAAAGAAACACGTTCTGATTTGATTGTACTGTTACAGAAAGCAAAACTGTTTTTGATTTGCTTTCTGAGGAAAAAGGAATCATTTTGTGTATTTAACATATAACATATAAAATAGTCAGATTAGTTAAAATAGTTTTTTTATTGAAATGGAACAGGTTATTAAAGCTTCAGACAAAATGTAAAAAAACTACAATAAAATAAATAAATAAATAAAAATTACCTACAGTATGTGTGTTTTTTTGTTGTTGAGTCTTATTTGATAAAACAGACTTTTATGGCTCATACTATAATATCATATGTGCTCACACTTGAGAAGGAAAAAATACCTCAGTTTTATTCAGAGGACCAAAACAAAAATGCAATTTGGTGCAGTTGGACAAAATAGATAAAAGATAATTCTGATGTCTGAGGTCTTTGTGTTGCCATAAACTATTGATCAAAAAAGCCTTTGGTTTCTGTTTTGTTTTGTTAATCAATTTGATACTAATGAGAACCATCAATCGACTCTTTACAAAGTTCTTTTCATGACCTCCAGTAGGTCAAAAGAAAAAAAAAGAATATATATATATATATATATATATATATAATTTTTTCTTTTTTTTAATTGGGACACAATTTTAGTTTTCAAAACAGGTAGAAGCAGCACAACTGAATGGAAAAGAACAGAGTTCTTGAGATGCTGATGGCACAAAATGCTGAAAAAAAGACCTAAAATGCCCGTAGATAATCGGAAGTAATAAACACGTCACAGCTCACTGACCATCCAGACAAACACCGCAAAAACACCTCCCACTCCAACTGCAGGGACAT